CCACTCCCTAATCAAGGCTGCACGTACATGCACATGGGAGGGCGCTTAAGCCCCACCATATTAAATACCCAATTAGTCTCGCCCCACCACTTCACTTACCTCCGGAGGAAGGATATGCAAGAGATGTTCAAGGGACTATATCCTCAACTTTTTTAGCTGCAAAGCATCTGTTTCAGCTATTTTGACCGATCTGGTCTCCTCTGTCACATGATGTAGCTCAACCACGTGTTCTTCTTTGCACACATTTTAGATGGAAGTGCACGGTCTCCAGACCCTTCCTCCGGCTCTGCAGGTAGCAAAGGGGCGTGGTGAGACTACATACCCATAAATGTATAAAACAAACAACAGACAATTTACTTTATATATTTACCTTACTTGAAGAGATTAAGTAATGAAGGCAAATTGAAGCATAAATACAAACTCTGTGGATAAGTAATAAAAATTATTTATGCTTATAATTTTACAATAATTTCTCTCACTTCAAGAGAATCTTGTAGATAGGGTGTTTAGGCAAGTACATCATCTCAATCTCATCTCATCCGGTATAGATCAGTCAGTAAAGAACAAAGGAGTCCCCATTGAATAATACTGAGCATGCGCAGTTGGATGCATCAAAATGGCGTCCAACCACTTGGTGAGTCAATTATGTGCTTGAAAATGACGACAAAAATCATTTTGTAGAATTACAATGCCAAGCCACACTGCACTAGCGTCCCTGAAGTGCAATACAATGGTGCAAAAATCATATTTCTAGGATAAAAACTGTAGGACTAGTTCTTCCTTAACTGTGGAAGAAGAAGGAGAAAGCTGAACATTTGGTGCATGCAGGCATGCATGCATTCATTTGCCGTATAACTATCTTATGGAAGTTTTTAACTACTTTTTATAACACTAACCTGTTCTAATAAAATTATAAAGGACATCCTGACTGTCAGATAAGTCATAAAGAATTCCTGAAGATTTACACTGGCTCAATGCTTCTGGGAAGGCAGCCATTTTGGGGGTGCGCTCGTCCAACTCAACCCTACATACCAAGCGCTAGCGCTTGGTAATAGAATAAATTGTTGGTTTTATGCTGAGTAAAGCATTCTATATGTTAAAGGGTGGGGCTTAAACGCCCTCTTCATGTCATAGATTTACTCTATTATCTATGCCCATGGATGGCAGCTTGTGTGGACCATGCCCTACTACAAACATGTATTATATTTAAGCCACTCCAAATAGATTTGCTTACCCATTTTATGCCACATGGTCCCCCATCACTATTTGTTATACTTTAAGTAATTTTACAGCTGCTAATATTCTCGATAATAAAAGTGTAATTAATTGCTATGGAAACTGATAGAGCATTGATAGTCTCACGTAGCCAGACCACACCCTCCGTGCCTCCGGGAGGGTCTGGTCAACTGAGCATTCCTTCTTCGTTTTGCCTCACCCAAAACCGGGTGAACCGGATGCAGTTACACGTAGTTAACTGATGTAATGTCAGTCCGTATACTTACACGTACACTATCGGTAACCCCGCCATGTGAATCATCGTGGTATGGAGTCACAACAGGCACTCTCTCAGGCTGAAGACAAACTTAAAATTTACTTTAATTTCTG